TTGATACGGGTGTGTAGGTGTGGATGTTAACTTCCTACACTTCATCACCCAAATCCCATACCCACACCTACACTCAATTTAAGATGACAATAACTATAAATAGCAGCAATCTGTTTCAAATATTCTCTTTAAAAAAAAGTTCTTCGATAAAATTGAACAACAGCACAGACAGTACACAATGGAAAATTATTGTAAATATCAAACGGAAATATTTTAAATTGAACGAAAAGATAAAATCGATTTTACGAAATAAAATAGTAGTTGAACGATACTAATAATTTCCGATAGCCAAATATAACAAAATTTTAACCTTTGGATGCTATTGGATAGTTGAAAAATCCAATGGAATTTTTTTGCTTACTCTCACATCAGACTACTATTATTGAGATACGACTACGATGATTTTTGTTTTTATCATATTTTAATCAAACGAAGAAATTTCTTACACCCTATTGAGTCAATAACGTAGTTAAGATACACGTGACAATAGAAAAAAATATAAATTGCACCATTATCACGCCATACAGAGTAATTTTTTTTTCGTCGTTCTGTTCTTTCCAAATATTCTATGTTGGTAATTGCTTGTGCAATACCATCGTCAACTATATAAAGTCGTGTTTTGACAGCCTTTTTCTGCATTCCAATTTTGATCATCAACCGCGTGTCGTGCAATAAAAGCACACACCCGGCGGCCTAACAACCAACTCGATGGCAGATTGGAAACGTGTGCTCTCGCTAGTGCAAGATTTGCTTATGCAATAACAATATTCGTACTTCGAATTGACTCGGACTTTTTATGTTTGAGTTAGAAACCCGGCTTCCGGTGTGTTCCGATCACAACGAAACCCTGCTATCGTCGCTTAATATCGACGCTTTGGGTCGATCGGACATGTCGAAGACCACCAATATTGAGATTATATTTGTTTGTGTTGATTATATTGAATTACACAACAATATATGAAATCTCATTGGTGTATCTTCGATGTTTTCGACATATGCCTATGAAGCCGAGTATCGTAGAGATGAATATTAATATCCATAAGTCAAATCTATGACATTTTCTGAGAGCACATGTTTTTAACCTATATGGAATATATAAAAATTATGAAGGTAAATATTAGATAACAGTAAGTACTTTCCGTTTTATTTCACATGTAAGTAAAAGGTTACAATATTATGTATAAATTTGATTTACAAATTGCTAAAAATGGGAAGAAACTCAATAGATTATTTCTTTTTCAGCTGCAATACGATATCTGTCGAACATCGAAAGATCTCTTTGTTTCATTATATTGTATTTTATTTTTATTGAAATATTTAAATAAATAAATTTATTCTAGTCATTAAATTGTTTATTATGAACGAAATCACGACTCTAAAAATCTTTAGTTTCGTCTCCATCATTAAAGACTTCCTACTTGGTTATATTTGATATTTTATTTTATATGGATTTTTTCACAAGACCCAAGTTGGAGTTCATTTTTGATCCATTCTCTATTATTTAGTTATATTTGAAAAACTGCCTTAACAACATAATAAACAAAAAAGATGAAATCATATAACGAATGTTTTTCTCTGTTTGTAGAATCTTAATATTTTATATTTCAGGAAAAGGGCATTGATTATTTTTCTTTTGTATCCAACATCAACTGTTATATAGAGGGAAAAAACCGATATACTTTCATTTTATGCAATCTCGAATAAAGGGTGTGAGTATTCTCTCCATCCACACTCATGCTCTCGATCGGATGCATGAAAGTTTTTCTGATTAAAAGCTCACGTCCTCTACATGTTGCAATAACTTTTAAAATAAGATGACTTTTGATTAAAAGTTTTTAAAACAATTTACTTTCTATATGCATTTTCATTAATGAATTCTTTGAAAGTTAACCATCGAATTTAATCAGTTTAAAAACAAAACTAATAAAATTGTCAACATTGTAATCAACCGAAAATTGAAGATCATTTTATTATACTTAAACAAGATTTTACTCATGTTCACAAATGAGAAACAGTCACTCAATCACATTCATACCTTCCCGTAATCATGTGATTGGGAATGAAGGATGATAATTCTTTCAAAGAGAACATATTCTACTTTAATTTAATTAATTATCTTTATTATTATTCTCTGACTAAGGCAATAACAATCAAACTATCGTCCAAGAATGACCTTGTCTACAAGAAGAATCACAAACGAACATCCAACAAAAAAAATTAGATTGCTTTGACAGTGAGGTACAACATTCTCTCTATCAGGAAAAAGAAAATGTGAGTTCGGCAAGTCCTAATGATAGAAGATATATTACGATGCGGCTTGATTGTGTTGGGCACAGATTTTTGAGCTTCTAGCATAAGAGCAGAGAAACCTTAGTGCCACGTCTGTATGAATTTGATGGAATTGATTCGCCTCACGCTTCAAATAGTGTGCTGCAGTGACTTTCGCTTTGACGCGACACGATGTAGCGTTGATAAAAGTCACATCGTGATTATCAATAAAGGGATGCGTCGAATTGAACCACGACAGCATTTCATTCCGTGCATGAAGATTAACTTGGCACGGTAAGGCTAGATTATATATCGTAGCAGAATCCATACGCATAACCAATATTGGCGACTGACCGATGGTAGGAGCTAAGAATGACAAGTAAGCGCTAATAATGATGGTTAATTTACTATTAGTTTCCTTCTAATGTCTGTTTTTATTTACTTGAATCCTCAAATAGTTCATGTATAGACGAGAAAAGAAAGTTTGTGTATGGTCGAACTGGAGATCCATAATCACACCCTCTAAGACTTTCTGTCGTTTATTCTTCTCGAAAATTTACTATGTTCATGTGTTATCAAATAAAGACGCAAAAACAACTTTGTCTTTTTTTCTATGCGTTTCTGACTTAAGTTTTAGATTTATAACTGATTTGTAGTATAAGTAAATAGTGTAAAGTATTCTCGAGAAAACGATATGAAGCAACTTATTCTGTAGTTTTATGATCTCTATTAGCTTTTCCTCTTCGAAGGAATGAAAAAAAAACAAACCGTCGTGTCTATCTATCTCGTTATCACCAACAATTTACTGTTGGAATACTGGCATTGATGCAGAAAAAAACTAGTTTAATCAATCTTCTTCTTGATGAACAATCGTTTGTACTATATACTCCTGACTGTGTTAACTATTACACATTCCATTCGAATTCTGTGTGTAATCTGGTGGCTACCGGTATTTGATAATTTTCTTCATATCTAAAATGATTTTTCCTAGGTCTGACATTCAAGACTATGATTAAGAAATTAGAAATGAAATAGAGGTATCAGGAAGCCACTAAATATGTTACTGTATGCTGTCAATCTAGCAAATTATTTAAGTTTGACAAAAAATAGTGAATAATTTATCATGATAGTAATTCGATAATCATAACGATTGAATCTGAATCCTTGAATGTCCTTCAGTCATTTGAAATACAGTCACAGGTCCGACAAAAGGGATACATGCATTCGAACTTTTGTTTTGTGTAGTGATTCATCCACTGGAGATGGTGTACTACCCATGCAAAAAAAAAAGACATTTAACGGCATTTTTTTTTAAATTCACACCAAAATTTGTGTAGAATGGTATTTTAACAGGTTTTCATGAGGAAAATATCATTAAATTTCGTGAAATTATAAGAATTCGTTTAAGTATGCGAAATTTTCATGCGTGAGTTGAATTTCAATGAAAATCATCTCATTATGCAATTTTATATATAGTTGAAGATATTTTCAAAACTAGCATGATCTAGAATATATTTTGGCTCGTATGTTGAGAATAGTTTGCAATAAAACACTGCTCTTCGTACTTCTGAAATCACAAAAAGCGAGTTTTATTTTTTCACAAACTTTATCGAATTATTCAAAGTTTCATCGAACTCAAAACTATGATTCTCTTTATGATTGGATCCGGTGCACTATATTTATATAGAGCGATGCTTAGCATTAATATAGCGTTCTTTGAAAAATTAATCTCCATGATAGAGGTTCAACGGTTTTAACAGAAATAACATAAGGACATCTTATTGACATAAAAAAAAAGAAACAATAAACATATCTTGTTATGATGGATTAACAAATAGTATTACTGTTAGAAGTCTTGAGATCTGTTACTTTTACAAGTACTTATGATCATATAATTGGTTTATAATGAATTTCTGTCGTTAAGTATCGTTAGAATGACGAAACTTAATCTAAAATAAAATTGAACAAAGAAAAAAAATATCTGAATATTGATTCTGTGCGTAAGCTGATATGTGCAATATTACTCAAAATTTTCATACAGTATTATTGATCACATTTATAATGAACTTCTTTCAATGATCGTCATTTTTCTAATCTTTATTCGTCTGTGGAAGAAAATACAACTAATTCATTCAATATTGAATGTACTTTTAAATCCGATGCATAATACAATCTCATTATCAGTACGGTTATTTCATAAGAGAAAGCAACACTCCTTGTTATTCATAGGTCTAATATCAAGCGAGCGATAGCTCTACTTGCTGCTGTTTTGCATCTTTACATATGCTAGAAATCTGTATTATATGTTGGCAGATATAAAAATTATCTTTATTAACAATGAAATATACGTTTAAGTGCGTTAATTTTTAGTTTGACATGTGTCCAAAGACTTTTGAATTGCATGTTAGACTGTTTCTAGTCTCACCAAGACTCTCTTCTGGACTCAAACGACTAGTGTCAATTGGAATTAGTTTCTTTGTGTCAGCACAAGTTGTTCTTAGTGAACATTTAGAGAAAAAGAAAATAAGTAGAAATTGCCACCAAGCAGTGAACTTTCGTCAAAACTCATGAGGTGGCAGATCTCAAACCTTAATCGGCTGGGCTTTTCAATCACAATTATCCAGATGTGATAGTAAAAATCAAACGGTTTGACATGGTATTCATAAATGAAAACAAAAAAAAGTTCAACAATTAGCTTTATTATTTAGATCGTTAGTATATGTCTTGTTTATTTATGTTTGTAAATATTGATCACATTCTTCTAGATCGATTTCAGTGACATATTGAACATTCTTGGAAAATGAAAGTTGAACTTGTTCTATTTTTTTAATTTTAAATACAGAATATGGCATAATTAATATTTCACCTTCGTTTGCATATTGTGACAAATCTTCAATATGTAAAGCGGTACGTCGATGTTTAATTCGATATTTACATAGTATCCATGATTTAATTATGGTTCCATCGACTTTCAAACGTGCCTTTACACCAATTTGTGATTGTGCCGCTTCGTCTTGTTGACATGCATATAATTCGACAATTTTTTGATCAATTGATGACGATAAAAATGATTTTGTCATTAATAAATGATCAATTTGATATTTTTTCAAATCATCATTATTTATTTGCATCACTCGATAAGCATCACCAATAAATGTCAATTTTTCCAAGCTGTGATGATGTGAAATTAATGCTATAATATATCTTCGTTCACTTTGATATTTAGTAGTACCAGTCGCTATTTCAGTATTCAAAACTCTATAGAAATCTGTTTCAGCTGTGTAAGCTGTGATTATCCATATTGGATCTTTTTTTTCAGTAGCTTGTCGAAAAAAACGTCTGATTTTTTCAATACCACCGATAGTATTTAATCCCTTGTTAATATAGTTTTTTTCAATGTTTTCGAACATTTTATCGATAGGAGTAGTCTTGGTGACATTGTCATACAATGATTTAATAATATGCCGTTCTTGCACTGCTTTTCCCAGGACGTCATCATCATCAATTAATTCCCATTCAATAGCACCGGTACTCGATACAAGTCGATCACTATTCGGCATGCGAAGAAAAAGTTCTTTGATGTCATCATTCTTTGCTTCATCATATGGTAAACATTTATACTTATTCGGTATTGCTCTGTTGGCTCCTATTTCCAATAATAATTTTACAATTCTATGATGACCATGATAACATGCAGCATGCAATGCTGTACTACCGTTTGGTTCCATTCGATCTACATTATCAAGTGTCATTGTTGGAAGTATCTTTTGAACTTCATCCAAGTTGTTATGACGACATGCCAAATAAAAATCGCTACATACGTTTGATGAAGCCACTGTTTGTGTTGTTGTTGATATTGGTAGTTGGTTAGGTTCTTGCGTAACTTTTTCAATTGTTGTTAATTTATCTACAGGAAGACGCTCTGGATGATCTGGTTGTGAACGAGAATACTTAGAATTTGCCTCGCGACGACGAAATACGTGTTTTTTTAATAATTCCAATATGTTTCCCATATCAAGACAGTCAACTGCTTAACATCGAATGCTAGCAATAAAAATAAATAAATAGTTCAAAATCTTATAATTGATCCAGATTGCGAATTTTTTTTTCTACACGGAATAATTTCCTTTCACTATATATGAGAGAAGACAGCGCTTGAAAAGAAAAAATTTTATATTCGTCACTTGTGCACAACGTGGTGTAATTATTTGACAAAGGCAAATCAAGATAAAAACAAAAAGAAAGAGAATACATTTGTAGACGTTACATTGATAAGTCTCAACGATAAGTATTGCTGTATCATAGTGTTGACGTCATAAAAAAGATTTTTTTTTTCTTTCTTGTATTATCAGTATCATTCTAATATAATACACATTGCAAAAAAGAAGACACATGGATATTGTTCGAATAATTTTCTTATAAAAAAATAAGATTGAGAACAGCGATTTTCATCATTCAAAAGAGTTTTTATCAATGCATAGTTTCATATCATATTCAATAAATTTGACTCATAGTTACATTACTAATTAGTGATCTCAGAAAAAAAATTCTTTGAATCAAATACTTATTTTTATATATCATTAAGAAGTTCGAGGTCATTTTGTTTTTTTTTCTATATAAAATCTAAACAGTCCTAGAAGACATATGTTAAAGAGTAACATCAAAGTTCTTATTTCAAATATG